GGAATGCAGACTGGTGGAAAGCACTATGGTGACATCTCAAAAAATTAAAAATGGACCTGCCTTGTGACTCAGCAATCCCACTTCTGGGAATGTATCAGAAGGAACCTAAAACACTAATTTGAAAGAACATATGCACACCTATGTTCAGTGCAGCATTATTTACAATTGTCAAGATATGAACACTAAACACCAATACAAAAAAACCTTTGCACTCCGATGTTCATAACAACACAATTTACAATAGCTAAGTGCTGGAAGCAACCTAAGTGCCCATCCGTAAATGAATGGATCAAAAAACTATGGTACATTTACACAATGGAATTCTATGCAGCAGAAAGAAGGAGCTCCTACCCTTTGCAATAGCATGGATGCAACTGGAAAGCATTTTGCTAAGCAAAACAAGTCAGGCAGTGAAAGACAAATACCATATGATCTCACCTTTAACAGGAACCTAAACAACAAAACAAAGAAACAAGCAAAATATAGTCAAAGACACTGAAATAGAGGACAGGCTGACAGTGAACAGAGGGGAGAGAAGAGGGAATTTCAGGGGAGAATGGGAAGGGTTTACAGGAAGAAATTTAAAGGACACATGGACAAAAACTAGGGGGAGGGTGGTAATGGGAGGGAAGTGGGAAGGGTTGGGTGGGTGGGCTGGAATGGGAGTAAAAGGGAGAAAACTGTACTTGAACAATGATTAAAAAAAATAAAATAAATAAAAAAAAGTTATGAAGCAGCCAAGTGTCCAGCAGTACATGAGTGAATAAAACAACTATGGGACATTTACCAATGTACTACTCTTTGGCCACAAAAAGGTAGAAAATTTTACCTTTGCTACAGCATAGATGTACCTGAAGAACATTATGCTGAGTGAAATAAGCCAGTCAGAGAAGAAGAATACCATATGGTTTCACTCATATGTGCAATCTAATGAACAAACTGAACAGGCAAGCAAAACAGAGTCATACTTGTAGATGAGAGAGCTGGATGACAGCCACGGGGTGGGGGTTGCAAGTGAGGGTATCAAGGAAAAAGGACTTAAGGAAATTGACAATAGTATGGTGATTATGGGAGAAAGAGGGTCATAAGGGGAATAAAAAGTAACAGAAAAATGCAAAAAAAAAATTTTGAGATTAAAATGAAGACTATCTCTGGACTCAACATCGAGCTGAACCCTGTGAAAGTCACTTCATATTTGTATTTCCACTGCCCATATATAAAATAAACTGCCTATAGCTTAGCCGATCCATAATGTACTTTCCATTAGAAGTTTTATTTCAATATACATGGAGACCATATAAGGCCATAAGGGTTTCTCTCCTTCAGTGGTTTGAAACTTCTCTGCGTTTCAACTTAAACTGTAAATAGCATCTGCTTTTACACAAATCCACTAAGACTTCGAAAACAAGACTAAATCATTCCCAAACCCAGTCCTGAAGTCCCATCTTATGTAGATCTCAAATTATTCCTTACAAATACATTTATTCTTGAAAAAGGCAACTCCTTCTAAAACGAGCTTTTGAACATACAATTTTATTCTATTTACTCCAATCTACATGCCTCAAAGCTGCTTCTCTGAAGTTTTGTGTCAAACAGTTGCTATGTAGAAGTTTCCACATCTGGATAATCCTTGCTTTCCACAGTGTTCATTGTGCATGATTCCAGTAACCATGGTTTGGTTAAATAACACCAGTTTCCCAACACAGTTCAGACCGCAGTACCACCATATATTAACGATGAGTAACTGCACAAAGTACCAACTTTGCTGCTATTTCTTCAGTCCAGAAATCACTATGTAAATAAGAGCTGAGCATACTACCAGTGACCAATCGCTTCACATCCTTCCAAGTCTGTCTGATGAGTCACTGCATGTTTGTCATTCAATTCACTTAGATAGCAAAGCGTGTAGTAGTGTTGCCTCCTTGTCTAACCGTGGTAAGTGAAGCCATGCAACATTCTATAAAAATAGTCAAAAAGGAAAATCAGTCCACAAAGATAATGTGCAGGAAAGAAACAAAAACTGGTAATTCTGAAAGTGAAATATAAATCAAATGGAAATAGTTACAGAAGAAATACCCCACCACCTGAATGTCTGAGACTCCAGAGGAGCAGCCAGAAGAACTTGGTGAAAGTGAGTTTATGTATGGAAATGAGGGAAGTAACTGTGAAGAAAGGATGACAATGTTCCAGAGGAAGTGGAAAGCTTCAGAATAAACTCTCAAGAGAGATTTCCTAACAGTGAAAGCACAAAGGATAAACACTGTAAGCTGATTCTAACTAGGGAGTATAAGAATTCATCAAAGCATGGGAGATATACTTGTGCTGCATCACAAGCTGTATAATCAGAAGAAAAAGGCAAGCATTGTTCAAATTGCACTTGAAAAATTATACAGAAGTAAAACCCTAATTCTTAATGTCTCTAGTGTTTAAAGTACAGTATACTAAACAAATGTAAGTTTACTATTTTATTATTTCCTATACACTTTAACCACAAGAAGAGTTTTTAAGCATTTAGCAAACATTTTCAAATGTTACAGAATGATCATAATTTATCTCACTTAGTAGGACTCATTTGAAGTTTCAGTTTGAATGGTCATTTTTGCCACCTCATACTGTTGTGTCAAGGGAGGACTGCCTGTATAGTAAGGTATTATTTAATGATACCAACTGCAAACGTTTATCAAGAGCACCCCAGTTCCCAACTAACCTAGAAAAATCCACTAGGCCTGTTATCGAAGATGCAAGACAAAAATACTCTGGCCTGCTGCACTTCAGCTCTTCTATTATTTACTTCCCAGGCTCTATATTATGATCTACATGTGTAAATCTCTTCCATGGCTACTCCAAAGTTGTGCCCATATCCAAGTGTCTTCATCTCGGAGGTGGGAAAACAAAATCATGTTGTCCAACCTTTCCATAAAAGGGCTGGGGAAAATCAGGCTTAAGAGACTGAGTGGCATGCCTAGCAAGGAACACTTAATCAATCAGGAGCAACAGGGGCATTAAAACACAGTTCTGGTTCCAATATACACAATGATGCCTACTTATGAAGAGGTTAATTAGGTTTTATTTTTCCACCCATATGAATACACGGACCTACTAGCAGAGAACAAATATTCCACATTTTCTGAGCCTCTCATTACTTAGACATTTTAAATCATCTGCATTCAGAGCTCTCTTGTAACATCAGTAGAACTTAGTAAGAATTTTCAAACATTTCATGCTTCAACGTATCCTGGATGGGATACTGGTATGGAAAATGGACATTAGATAAAAACTAAGAAAATGTGTGTACACTACAGACTTCAGTTAATAATGGGACACTACTGGTTCATTATTAGTGCCAATGTCCCACACTAATGTAAGAGTACAGGGAATTGAGTATGAGGTAGAAGGGAATTCACAACTTTCCTGTAAATCTAAAACCATTGTAGAAGAAAGATTTCTTTAAAGAGTTATTAACATTAATTTTTTATTAGTGCTGGTATATAATGAAATTTTTGAATCACAGGTACTGTACGTACTAATTTCTATTCTCTATAGTAGTGTTCTTTAAGCTACACCCTGTAGAATCTGCCAGGAAGGAAAGTGTGAAAGCCACTCTTTAGTCTAAAGGACAGTTAAGAGTAATGATTTGAGGAATATTCCAATTCATAGTTCCTCAAAACAGAGAGCACTAGACTGAAGGTAAAACAAAACCTGCATTCTAATACTAAATTAGTAACCAACAATGTAAAACATTTTATTTCTTTAAGCCTCAGTTTTCTCATCTGCAAAATAAGAGCAACCAAATATGTTTCAGCTTAAAGGTCTCAGTCCAACTAGAATTTTTCCCCAAAATGTTCCTTCTACTAAAAGTAAACTATATGATTTAGATAATGACATTAAAATACAATGCTTTAATGAGGATCAAAATCTGTCAGTTTTTTTCTCTTTTTGGCCTATGATCAAACAACTACTGTATTTTTATCGAGTATTTTGACCTAAAATCTAACTCATCTAATTTTACATTTCAAGCTATATCATTTATTTCACAAATATACAGGTACTGTGTACCTCTCTTACTACCAAGAAGCAAACAATACAAAATGGAGCTAATAAAAACTATAATTTAAAAACAGTTTCAAAACATAAGTCTAAAGTTTCTTTTGCACTCAGATCTCTACCAATTCAATAACACTGTCAATGAATTAAAGCACAGAAAATGGACAAATGTAATTATTTTCAATTCACCAGGGCAAATTTTTAGCAACAGTTTCAAAACAAATTTCAGTTATTTAAGAAAGCTCAATTACCTGCACCAAATGTCTTCTTTTTAATTATTCTAAGTTTCGAATTTCATAAATCCAAAGGCAGAATTAAACTGCAACAATAAGACTAAATATAAACTGGAAAACGCAAACTTCCTATGTAAAATATGGTAATAATGTAACAACTTCCTCAGAATTTACATTTGATGTCCAAAAATGACTAATATGGTTAACAAAAAGTATCTGCATTAATATCATCTAATATTTGGTCTTTTCAAAATATTTTCACATTCTCTCATGTTTAATATTAGACAAAAATCATGTTTAAATGAACAATGCAATCCATAAAATGAAAACTATCAAATTAAAAGGCACCATTTTATTACTAAATTTTCAAGAACCTACAGGTAGTAAAAGTACAATTCTTAAAATGTTATGGCTCCATCACAAGCACTATTCGATTTCAAACATCAAGTACAGTAACTGAAGTCGTAACACGAAAAGCTCACTTTTCTTTGTCCCCCTCCCCAGGGGGTGCACCCTTCCCAGAAGTACTGCAATACCTGCTGGAAGCGCAGAGTGGACCAAGCAAGCTCCTATTCCATCTCCCAGCTCCAAAATTCCATTTAACATAATGTCCTCGGAGAGAGGACGTATCAGATAGTAAACTGGTAAGAACAGATAACTACACTTGATCTCAGCCAAAAAGCCGAGAAACAATGAAATGTCACGTTTTAAAATAATCCTTACATTATTAGTTGCTCTGACCCGAAATATACTGAAATATTTCCCCAAAGTTAACATCGTTGAAAATCTTATCCCCTTTGACACCTGTAAAATAATAAAGATAAGATTTAAAACAATTTTTCATTATGGTGTATGTAGACTGTACCCTTAGGTATTACCTTGAAAGTACCAATCACAATACACTGAAGCCTTCCATTTAAGCACATTAATTTGAAAATTATTTTTATTATGCAGTGAGAGCATGAAATATTAAATCACACTGTTCTATAATCTGGTTTCCAAAGGTCATACGCATTAACATTTTTAAGGATTAAAACATTTCTAACATTTTTTAAATGGTCACATTTCTAAAACCTCATCGTTAAAACTTGCTCCCCAAGTCCGTGCTCATAGGAAACTAAACACTGTACACAGGAGTTGAGCAGCTTATCTAAGAAACCACTTTTATTCAGTTAGTTTTCGTTTTCTTCTGAGCTTTTATTTTGTTTGCACTGCAGTTTTTCACTTAATGAATAAAAAAGGCAATTAACTATTAAATCAGGTAAGAATGGTCATCTTTGCATTATTACAAAGAGCAACAGTCATCTCCTTAGTCCTCTCCTCCTCTAACCATGTCGAGTCCAAGGGATATGGATCTCCACTAGACCAGGGTGGCTCCGTAACCAGACACCGCCTCCCGAGCCACAGGTTCAGACCCGCCCACCTTCGGCCTTCCCACTTTCCTCCCACTCCACCTTCCACCTAAGATTCAGCTGGGCACCCGCGAGACCCTGCGCGTACGCCAGCGTCACCCCGCCCCAGGTTCGCGAGCTCCCGGTCCCAGCGCGAGCACAACCGGTCGCCACCGACGGCCGCCCAGGGACCTTGGCGCTGGACCCTCCCCAGTCCCAAGCTACTCTCCGCAAGAACCACGCCATCTGAGAAGGCGCACTATGGCTTCACCCACATGGTCAGCGCCCAGCTGCCAGCAGCAGATGGAGGGGCAGAGCCTGGTCGAAGTAGGAAATCATTTAGCCCGGCCCAGGAACCGACCTGTGGAGACCGCCATCTTCTCCTGCACCCGGACACGCAGCCGTCTTCACGCACGGCGACGTTGTACGTCCCTTTCGGCGCAGCTTCTGTTCTCGCGTAACTGGAGACCCCGCCCTCTGCGCCTGTGCGTTAGCTAGGTGGGAAGAAGATACGGATCTTTGCTGCCCTGTTGGCAGCTTTCCTAGGTTCTGATATTAATTCAAAATAAAACGTTAAACAAAGAGGGTTTTTTTGCAAGACAAAGCTGAGTCAATCACCATAATGTAAAGCAAAGACAAAGAGAAAATACTTTTTAAAACCATGTGTAATGGGGCTGCATAAGTCATGACAACCTATCATGAGAAGTGCTGAAAGGGAGAATGTGCACAGATTTTCAAACTATTGGTTTAAGGTTTTATGCGCCCAGTGTTTTGCCGTGTATGATGCGCACTTTTTTGTCCACGTTTTTCAGGGGAAAACAAGGCTGTGCATTATACATGGGTAGTACCTGAAATACCTTGTATCTGTTCTTGTGTTTTGTACTCTTTGTTTCATAAAATTACTTGTACCATAATATGTTAAAAAATAAATGCTAAAATTCCTTTATAATACAAAAAAACAGGTATCTAAATATAAGGAAAGATTCCCCCCCCACAACACTTGGCCTAAATGGTGGGTGCACATTTATACACAGCAAAATAATGGTAGGTATAAAACATCTTGTTAAGAAAGTGAAAAAAGAAGGAAATCTTACCATTTTACCACAGCATGGATGGACCTGGAAAGCATTATTAGTTCATTAAATCAGAGAAAAGGCAAATACCATAGGATTTCACTCATGTGGAATGTAATGACAAAATAAAAACAGACTCTTACAAACAGAGAACAGAATGACAGCTGTCACAGGGGAGGGGAGTTTGAGGGCTGGATGAAAAAGGCAAAGAGGTTAAGCAACTTTGTAGACACAGACAACAGTATAGTGATTACCAGAGCGAAGGGGGTGGGGGGGGGCAGTGAGGAAAGTAAAGAAGATAAAGCAGAAATAAATTGTGATGGACAGATACTTGATTTTGGATAGTTAACACATAATACAATATACAGGTGATGTATTATATAACTGTGCCCTTGAAACTTATAAAACCAGTAACTATTTTTGAAATTTTAATTTTTTTATCCTCAACTGAGGATATTTTTGCATTGATTTTTAGAGAGGGAGAAGAGACAGATGGAGGCAGAGAGATTCATCAATGAGAAAGAGAAACGTTGATTGGTTGCCTCTTGCACGTGTTTGGACCAGGGATCCTTGGTGCCTGATCTGGGATCAAATCCTCAACCTAGGTATATGCCCTGACTAGGAATCGAGCTCACAACCTTTCAGTTACGGGACAATGCACCAACCAAACGAGCCACATAGGCCAAGGCCATATGTAATTTCATTAACCAATGTCACCCCAGTAAGTTCATAAAAATTTTAAAAATAAATTTTAAAGGGAAACAAAACATGTTTTATATAAATTAAGTATTGAGATTAAAATAGTTTTGATATGTTGAATTAGGGTACATTATTAAAATAAAAGCCCAAACAAGATATGGGCATTGACAATTCTGCGCTGAAAAATGATTCAAAAGAGTTGAACAAAAATTTCAAGTGGCCCTAAGAATTAATCCAAATTATTTAATTTCTATTTTACTTTTGATATATGCATACTAATGAAACAATTAAAATCCACATATAAGACTGAAAAGTGGTTACAAAGAATATAAAACAAAATTTCTAAGCAACTAGGAGGAATTATGTGTTCAAAATGCAAAGATTTTACAAACTTCGTGTGAAACATTTGAACCTATACAGAATTTTCGGTTGCATTTAAAATTAGAGTTGAGATAGGCCAATAAGACAGGACAAGTATAATAAGGAAACTGAGATAGACAGATGAAAAAATGACTGAGCAATTTACAGCCACATACAAAAGGTCACCTCCCTAGACATCATATCCAGGCCACAGTTACATTTCAGCTCCAGGCCCAGGAAAGCAGCAAAATCAGATGGGCAATGCCAGGACCAGCTGCAATTGTAACCGGAAAAGACATCAACGTTCCGGCTGCCTGTCACTACCAAATCCAATAAGCAATGGCAACAATTGAATCTTTTATGGGAGCTTTATTCAGATGGCTGGCGATCCGAGAAGATGATAGGTGCATACCCTAACAAACCATCTTCTCCTTTCTTTCCTGGCCAGATCTTTTATAAGGGGGTTGGGGAAGACAAACAGGAGTCAGTGAGAGTCTTTGAAGTTCACAGCTGCAGCACTTCTATCCTGGGCAATTAGCTGTCTCCAAGTGGGAGGGGTAGTCACCTGCTTCTTCCCGATAGGGATGTCTGCAGACAGTAATCTCTAGCCAGCACCCCAGGAGGTCAGCCGCTTTTTCTCAGGCTCGAGATGGGCCTTATCTGTAGTTCCTAAAACAAAAAAGCTTAATATACACATTACTTGTTAGATTTATGGCTATTTACCTTAAGCTAAAATTTTCCAAGTCTTGAGTCCCCCATCACAATGACAAATGACCTCCTGCTCTGGTATTACTATAAAACAGTCAGGAGGAGCAAAGAGCAGTCTCCCCCATTGGCCAAGATGGCAGGAAGGGGAGGTTCTTAGAATGAGTGCTCAGAAAGCTGGAAATATCAATGAGCTGAGCCTGAGCCCATGAAAAGCTAGGAAGATAATTGAATAGAAAAAAACACCCTTCTCCCCCATACCAGATTGGTGGCAGGCCCAAGGGAAGGCAAGTAAATGCATCACAAAAGTCAAATTGGCTCAGGGGTAGTGTTGGACCAAAAAGGCCTGTTGGTCCGGCCTGGGGTGAAAAGAGGATTGGTTGGGAGGTGGACCCACAGGAAGCCCATGAAAGTGTGAGAAGTTGTTTAGTCATTTTGAGAAAGTGCCTGGTCCACCCCATACCCAAACTAATCCAATCCCAAAGAAACAAAGAGGCTGTCTGGTTTGTGATTCCCTCTTGCTCATTACCTGAACTCACGCAGTACACTCACCTGCTAAGGCCACATGGCCTATGGCCCCCAGAGGGCAACCTCTCACTCACTCTTGCCCACCCGCTGATGCACTCGCCAATACTTTCACGTGCTCTCCTGACAGTAATAAACTTGCAGCCCTAGCAGCCACATGGCCCATGGCCATGCAAGATCCACATGCAGGTTCCAGGAGGAAGTCTGAAATGAACAGCAGCCAGGAACAAACTGAGCTACCCAGGTGGGGACTATGACTGCATAGCAACCACTTGTGGGCTCCCAAGCACCATACTCTAAATTGGAGCAGGAACTCTGGACATACTGGCATTTGTCTTTGTACTGCTGTGGAGATAGGCTTTGAGATGAGAATATGCCATTCTCCCAGATCACACAACACCTGAATAAAACTGCTTTCCTATTGTCCCGGCATGTGCCTCACAAGTTTGGCTTTTGTGACAACAGGCAGATGAACATCCACTGTTTTTTGTTCAGTTATGCCGGTGCTGACCAATCAGTGGACACCATGACCCTGAAAGAGCACACCTAGAAAACTGATGAATATTCTGCCAAAACAATCCCTTGAATCTCCCCTAAAATTCCCACCTGTAAGAAGGAGACAAAATCCTCAAGACAAACAACCCAGCACATTCTCCCTGTGGGAAGCCATCTGCTCCATTTGCTTCTTGCTCTATTTCCTTCTCTCCTGCCTCCACAGACACACATCTTCTAAACTTTAGGGGTTCTGACAAGGCTAGCAATTTGGGGAGCAATGGGCATGGCAGCTCATCCCAGGTAATCCCTGAACCTGTCCCCATGGCCCCATTTCCTCTGGCTTTTCAGTTAGTTAAGGCAGCCAGCCTGAGCTCTCATGTTGCTTCTTCTGTACTGACTTCTTTCTTGTTTCATTGTCCCCAGCTTAAATAAACCTTTTAGTCACCTGAACTTCTGTTGCGAAATCTTTCCTACATAAAGTCAAGGACCCACACACTACCTGCTGGCCCTAGGCAGACCCACTCAGGACCAGGTCCCCTGTTTGATAACACAAGTACTGAAATATGTCTAAGATTATGTTTTAAGACTGAATTCCATCTGCAGGGCTTTCTTGCTCTTTTGATCCCTCTGAGAGAAGGCAGCTGCTATACTGAGAGATGCCCTATAGACAATCCCATATGACGAGGAACTGAGATTATCTTCTGGCCAACAACCTTCCAGAAAGTGAGGCCCTCAGTTCAACAGCCATGGAGAAACGAATCCTGTCAGCAATCATGGGACTGGGCTTGAAAGAAGATCCTCCCCCAACCAGTCAAGTTTTCAGATAACATTGCAGTCCTGGCCCACACTTTGGGTGCCACTCTGCTGGAGAGCTTGAGGCTGAGGAGCCCAGCTAACACATGCCCAGACCTGACTCAAGAATAATGAGATAACAAACATTTGCTGTTCCAGTCAAGTGAGTTTGGAAAAATTGTTTGTGCAGCAATAAGATTCTAATATACTCTCTAAATTTACTGTCATTGAACACTGGCTAATCATACAAATATTGTTTTAGTAATCATTAGTATACACTTTTCATAAATGTCCAACCCAATTACCCCTGGCTCTTGATGAACCTCTATTACCATATATTTATTATTTTATTAGGGCAGAGTGATGGACAATGGCAAGTGTAAATATTATCGCTCCACCCCACACAAAAAATCAAAATTAACAACTGGCAAACCATTCCCCAGATTAATTTCTACTTTACAAACTGTAAACATTTTCTAAGGACATGCTTAAATTTTAATAACAAACTACATAAATATTTTCTTTACATTTTGTAAAAAATGTTTGCCAAGTTGGTAGTGATCCTATCATCTTTCTACGTATTGTTCTTTGAAGAGTAAGTTACAATAAATGAGAGGAAGTCAGATTTTGTGCAACATGAAGAACTAAGTGTTCAGTTTTTGCTTATTTTCAATATTATGTAAACCAATAAACCTCAGTGCCAACCAGGAAAAA